CTTCATGTATTCAAATACAAAGTACAGTTGATCATTTTCTCGAATAACTTCCTTCAGTTTAATAACATTGGGATGGTTAAGCTTCCTCAGTGACTAGAAAAAAAATAAAAGTTAGCATAGAAACATTTCACAGTTATCATAAGTTACATAGTGTGCCTACAAACATAACCAGGCATAATTGATCAGAGAAAAAAAAAAAAGGGAGTAAAGGGAGGGATTTCAATCACCAGCTCTGCAATGCCTGCACATAGTACATTGCCTAAAACAGATTAATTAAATGGGTGTTTCATTTTACTATATTTTAGACGTATGCAAACCCAAAATGCATTAACTCCAAAAACAAAAAACAGCATTCAGTGCGTTCCTCTGATTAAAGTGGAAGTATAGTGTATTTTCAGTGATAGATGTTAAACAATTTTCACAGTATACATCATAACCTAAAAGTATTTTTTATATATATTGTTCACATTTTAAAGAAATATACTTCAATATTTTTTGATATTGTATTAATAGAAAATGTGTACATTAGCCACTACATCCACTCAATTTCTGCCCATTTAATGTAAATTGACAGGGTCTGTGTAAAGTTCTCCTGCTGACCACCTTATATTTACTTTTACTTTTTTTTTTAGAGCAACAGGTTTATATTACCTACAGTACATTTCTCCATTTTGAAAATGGACACTTCACTGACAATAGAAACCAGTGCTGAATAAAAAAAAAAAAGAAAAGAAAAAAAAGCACTGACTGAGGTGTCCATTAATGTATGGTATAACTATTACACACTTCTTTTCTTAACATGGCTCCTCTGTCTATGGAGGAGCAACGGAGGCACCCTTGGAAAACAGCACAGTCTGGAGTAATAGTGCTAGATGGACTTTACATAAGTGACAACAAATTAAAGCCGAAAACAGCCCATAGGTCGAAATTAGGCTGGCTCAGTAGGGATCCATTTCGATTCATACATGGCCCTTTGAACTCCAGTTAACACTTTTTAAGCAGTTAGAGAAAAATAAATGTGTATATAGAGTGTGCTTCCAAAAATGTGAACCAAAATTACCTAACAATTTGCCACATGTGCAAATGCAAAAAAATTATATAAGTGGACAACACAAGAAAATACATATAATGCCCAATTTATCAGTAAGTCCCATTCAAATAATAGTTGCTGGAAAGCCAAAAGACAGGTGAAAAGGGGCTACTAAACAGAAAAAACAGGTGACCACTTCCAGGAGCTCCAGGTGACCCCACATGGATTTACACTCACCACAATGGATGGATCTGCTATTACTAGACAGGTCTCACTGTGCTTTTTTTGGTTGGACCCACTGTGTGTCTTGTTATCAACTTGACCATTCAAGTGTACCAGGAATGCTATTTCTTTCCATGCAATGCACCGCCATTCAAAAAAACAGTATCAGGGAAAGGTTCATTGTGCAAAGCAGCCGACTTTATTAAATCATATAAACCTAACAATTACATCACAATCACAAGTATATGTGCCTAGGGACCAGCATCATCTATATACAGCGCTTGTTGTTAAGATAGTTGCCACTGCCCCAAAATCAGAAGCTGGCTTACGTTCCAGGGATGGGAAGGGATGGGATGTGATGTATCGGCTGGGGAACACTGCTTCGACTAGTTTTGTCTGTAATTGGACGTCCAATTACAGACGAAACTAGTTGAACGTGCACAAAAAAAAAAAAAAGTAGGACACATGCAGATATTATGCATGTATGCGCATAAACGTGAGTACTTTAGGAGCGTATTTTATGCCAGATCTTCTAGCTCTGCCAGCAAGAACATTTTATTCATGCAGAAAATAATTGTAAGCCATTTGAATGAGCCCTGAAAGAAAAATCTTTATTCTAGAATGGGGTCTGAAACCCATCGATCGCAGGCAGGTGACGGTAGATCGCATCCCTGCCATGCCGAACTTTCATCTGAAATGCTCCTACCCGACATGCAGAGCGGCATATCCCTATGTGTACTGTGCTGATCCCTATCAACCCTCCTGCCCATCTCAGGCATTTGTATGTGACATCATATGAGAGCAGAGGCTGGCAGGGATTAATGCAACTGAAAAGGTATCACTGTGTTTTAACAGCTTCCCTGAGGAAACCATTTCTATCCCCCAAACTGCTGCCCCCCTGGACACTGCCCTACATATTACTGACTCCTGGATACTGCATTTAGCACACGTTTAGCATTTTTTTGGCAAAAATGTTCCTCTCCTGAGTGCGATTCTTCTGTGTTCTGTGTATCAGGAGAGGGACATTTAACTGGCCCTAAACTCTGCTGCTGTTATACTCTGGTAAACGTCTACGTGTGCATGGACACATAGACATAGTTGACAAAAACCAAAAGCTCCTGAATTCATGTTTATGAGCAGCAGTGTGCATGAGGCCTTACAGTGACATTTGTTTTAGTATATTTCACATCTCACATTTCACCTATCCCTGCTCTAGAGAAAGTTTACCTTTAGCTCACGAAGATTCATGCATTCTTCCCAGGAGTAAAATTTCCTTTTCATCCTGTTAAAGGAAAGAATGTAACAAAATGTATAAACATATAATTTAGTTTAAAACCATCCACTTTTACACTTTTTGAAGTGAATCAAACAAGAAGGCCCCTTCCAAAAGGGGTGGACTCCACCAGGGGATCTGACCACGGAGCAGGCGGATGGCTGGTCCGTGTCCGCTCCGCTTATGGCTGGTCAGATGTAAATGGACCACCTGTCCATTTACACTCGACTGCCATCTGATCTGCTAGACAGATCGGATCAGATTTAGGCGGGTGTAAAACAGATACATGTCCGATTACACCGCCACTCTATAGAGGAGAATGGAAGGTCCGATCGGGTCTACCTGAAAAACGGACAGCCAAACTTGATTGGTCCACTTGTGTAAAAGCGGCCTAAAACTGTACATTTAAAACAATTTCAAAACTATAAATTGGAAACAATGTTTCTGCAAGCACTGTAAAACAAAACAGTGTTTTGAACTGAAGGGTTTTAGTAGAAAATAATTTTTATTCAAAAAAAAATGACCAATCAAAGTATGGAGGGGTTGCTAAGGGCACCAACATCCTGATAACATTTATCATATAAAGAAAAATAATCAGATGGACTTTTGAGGTGCCAGGACGCAAACAAAATTACTTTTAATAAGGTTACAGCATAATCATTTTTCTAAAAACATCTGGTTAAAAGTATTAACATGTGCATAGGTACAAAACTAGAATACCTCCCTTTAACTACAAACATGTGGACCCCACAATTGCAAGATCAATATAGGTGTTCTGTCCAATAACCTTTAACACGAGCTTGGGATATCCTCCAAATAGATTAGTTGATTCAACAAGTTTTTGCAGGATACCCCACTTCTTCAGGAGATGTAGGGGAGCTAAGCAGACAAACCAATGGGAGATCCAACAACTTGGCTGGCAGCAATCATGGCCAACTGCAAGTGATGTCTCTCCCAGGAAGCAGGAGTGGGGAGCTAATTTAGGTGGTACCCTAAATGCTGAACAATTAAGCTGACACACAAGTAGAGGTACAGACTGTAGTCATTTGAAGTTTTGTAATCCACTGTGCTATAGGCGGCCAATAGGGACAAAATAGTATATTTCTGAAAAAGTGCAAATAGCCACTCTTCAGAATATACTGGAATAAGCCTGAACACTTCTTTGCTTAGGTAATCCCAAGAGTCCCCAAAAAATTCTGTGTCGAAAACAAAAACACAAGCTATAATAGCAGATTACATCTGCCTCTACATCATATTGCTGCTGACACCCCATGATGTAGAGGCAGACAAGATTGGTTATTATAGTTTGTGTTTTTGGCTCTTTGAATTTTTTACTCCTGCGGGGGTCAAACTACAGCCTTCACAGCTGCTGCTGAAGATATGCTGATCCAGAAAGCTGCTATGTACAGACAAGCTCAAGCAGGATTGTTTTAAGTCTTTATTGAAGTCATGAAAGAAAAAAACATCTTTAGTTGACAAAAAAATATATTGATAAATGTTGGCAAACAATACAGAGTGTTTCTCAACAATGCTGAGGAAAAGACATCAAACCTTCTAGGGCATTAGCAAAAACTGAGGCAGGACTGTATAGAAGCTGACTTAACATTACTTTTGTTTGCTATTGTCCAAACCCCTTGAAGGCAAACAGTATAACTCTAATATCTAAGAATTCCTTCATTCCTGTATCCCTGAATGAACGATAAAGAAATTTACGTTGTTTTATTTATGCATAAAATTACAAATAAAAAAAAAATTTTTGCAAGACAATATCACCAAAATAAACCTGGTTTGGCCTAAAAAAAATTATACATGTATTACATGGTTATCTTAAGTACTGACAAATGTTGCTGCCAAACAATAGACCCATAGCAGAAATATAAAATTGCTTTGGTCCACCCCCGTACCACACCATACCGGTGTAGAGGTACTCACTTTTTAACAGCAATCAGTTCTCCAGACTCTGTGCTTCGTGCAAGAAGAACTGAGCCATATGTGCCATCTCCAAGCTGTTTGATAGTTGTATAACGGTTCATGATGGCAGGTGAGAGATTGCAGGGACATTGCAATAGTAAGGGGAAATCCCACTATCAGTACGATGAATCTTCTAAGCACAGTCAAAGTGGAAGCCGCCAGGGAGGCTACAGGCAGTCAAATGTAGTCATATTCTGAGAATAAAGAGAAAAAACAAAACAAAAAAACAACTTGTAAAAACATACAGCATGCAATGTGGGTCACTGGTATGCAATATGGACCAATCAGAAAAATGCTTTTACTTATTACTGCTCTTCTAATTGTTTGCTGTAACTTGATGCATGAATGTGTGGTAACCTCTGCTTATAGGATAAGTTCACCTTTCCTAACATGCTACACCCATATTCAGTGTGCAACATGTTACAAAGTACCAGCCTCCATTTTCCCCCACCCCCCCTAGATCTCCCGCTTTGACAGTTAGCGGGGATTTTCCTCTCTAGCTCT